GTCTTTTTGCAGCACTTTCCAGTTTTTTGGCAAGCGTAACATGCAACACAAGGTTTAGTCTCTTTCTTTCCAAGTTGGTAAATTTCTACTTCAATACCTTCTTTTTCTAATCCTTCTTTTACCCAATTCAACATAGTAAAAGTGTTTCCTTTTTCTCTTGGACTTCCATTGATCATAAACACTTTAATTGGTCTTGACATTCTTCTTTTAAGTGGTATTGATTTGTAATAATTTTGAGTTTAAATATTTATTAACTTTGTTTGACTTTTCCGTTAATGTTTGTGTTATGTTATAATTTCATTTAATCATGAAGTCTATACTTTGATATGTATTAAAGTTTAAAGTTTTTTATTTAAATACAAAAAAAATGAATTATTTATAGAAAATAAAAAATAGAGGAAATTAGAGTATAAAATACTTATTTCCATTATCTATTTTTTATTAAACTTTTATATTTTATATTTAATACTTTATATAAAGGAACGAATGATTGGTTTAATTATTTGATAATTAATTGGTTATATTTAGTTTAATACTTTTCATAAAATTTTGTTTTAGATATTCACAAATTGGTTGATATAAACACTTTTCTTCATAAGTCAATTTTAATAATGTATATTGAAAATAATGTGTTTTGAATGAATAATTCATAAAAAGATTAATTTTTTAATAATAAACAATAAAACGTTATTGTTAATAATTAAATTCAACCTAAATAAAAATAAGAATTTATAATTGAATTTTGTAGTTATGGTTTAAATAAAATTTAAATATTTTTTTAAAAGTGTCTTGTGTTTATTTATTTTCTTGAGACAGGATTAGTCTCTTCAGAGAAGGGAAATTATAGGATATTTCTATCAATATTTACTTATTTAATTTTATTTTTCATTTAATATCATTTTTTTTTCTTAATTACCAGTATAATTTATTCATTAATACATATTTCTAGTTTTAGTTTTACATTTGTTTAAATTAATATATCTGTGGTACCTTCTTCTTATATGACAATCCTTTCTCATTTTTATAAAACAAATAATAAATTTATTATTTATATTCATTTTATTTCTTATTTGAATTTTAATTCTAAATGAATAAAATGATAATTTGATGATTGTAATAAATATTTTAATTATATTTATTTATTGAATGATTAAAATATAACTAATATATTATATAGATTAAAGAATAAATTCATTCAATATCATTTATTAATAACATATTCTCTTTTATTATCTGTTTATAATATATTTCAATAAAAAATGAATTGTTATAAATTATAGAAATTGAATAATGTATTATAATTAATATACCACTTCATTTATTTGTATCATTCTCTTTAATCGGTTATTTCATTATCACCAACCTTTCTCAAAACATTCATTTTGAATTATCTTATTATATTTTAATTCTTCATGAGAACCACAATTAAAGAAACAAGATTACTCAAATGTTGTAACTGATGATGGTATATTGATATTAGTTAATGATGTACATTCATAAAAAAATTATTTCCTATTTCAATAACTGATGTTGGTATATTGACTGGTGTTAATGATGAATAATAACAAAACATCTCTTCCTCAAGAAGTAACTCTTGTTTGATATATTAATTTTAGTTCTTCACATCAAATAAAAGATTTGTCTCAAATTGATTTAACTTCTAATGATATTATATTGCTATATTTATTTATAACATTCTTTTGTATATTTTATATATTTCATATATTTCATTATTCTTTTCTTGTAGTATGTTGAATAATTAAATTTATACCATATTATTTCTTTAAATATTATTCTATCATTAAATATTTCATCAT